TGGAAAAAGTAAAGCATAGTGATTTTGACATTCCTCGTTTAATTTTCGGCACTTCAATAGTAGTAGTTTAGTATTAGAAATTTATAACTCAAGTGATTAAGAGTAATTATTTATGCACCTAATTATAAACAGTGTTACGATCACAATTAATAAAAATGTCCAAATAATGGATGAGAGAATGGAAAGAAATGATTGGTACAGGACGGGCTAGAGCATATATAGTAGAAAGTGGGTGTGTGGGGTTCGCCCTATTAAAGCAAGAGGGCAGGAGAGGACACAAAGAAGTGTCCCATTGAAGAGCCATGCAGTCAGAATCATGCAAATTTATAAGAGCCACAAGATGATATAGTGTGAATGGGAATTGATTATGAAAGGGCCTCTGCCTGCTTGTTTCCACAAATGAGGCTCATAATAAGTATAGCCATATATTTTGCTCAATTTCTGATGCATAAATTGACCCAGAAGTGATATAAGGCTAACACTTGCGCTTTGTGATGCTACTTGGACGAGCAGTTTTATATGAAAGAATTCAAGGAAAAGAAAGTTTCTTTTAAAAAAAACAAAGAGAAGAGCAACGACAGCATCTGTACCTGCAGAAAGGTTATTTCAACTCAACGATACGTGCACGTTTGTTAGGCACAAGACTCCAAAACCGTAAAACCAAATTATTATTATCAAAGACATGACATGTGATGTTTCAAATCTGAAATTAAATCCCCCCACGTTACCAAAACGTTACCACTGTGTCCAAAATCAGTGGGTTCCGTTTCATTCATTCATATACTCTCTCTCTCTCTCTCTCTCTCTCTCTCTCTGCATGCCTAGCCTGGTTAACTCTCAACTGAAACAAAGACCCAAAAAAATTCAAATAAAAGAAAAAGGAAGGGACCATTTTTTATATTTTGAGGTGGATGATATCATAGCCATGCATGCATGATATATCTACTAGGATTTGGATTGGATTTCGATGATGAGGCCAAAATACTTACATGTGCTGTTACCTTATGTTCAGGATATATATATATATATATATGTATCAGATTTACATATAAATTATATGTACACCATCACCATGCCTAGCATGTTATCAGAACCATTCAGCTTTGTGCACTGCAGTGCAGCCCATACCAGAAGGCTGCTAGCTAGAACTAGGGTTTCATATGATATGTGTATATATAATTGTATCCTTTGATCAGGCTGTTGTCATTTGAAAGGGAAATGGGTATGTTGGGTAATACTAGTGAGGCACCATACTCTATAGCTTCCAGGCTTCTAGGCTTCTAGGCTTCTAGGCTTCTAGGCTTAGCCCTAGTGTGTGCAGGCGTATAGGCTTAGCTCTTTCCAGTTGGCTCTACAGATTAAATATTGTCCATACATGCACCGTTTTAAGAGAAGTATTGTGCATGCACTGTTAGGAAAACAACTGGATGTATCTGATACATCATCACGATACATGCAACATGCTGATTTTTAGTATATATTATATACGGCTGGGGTTGGTCTGCCAAGTTGAGGAAATTAGAGAATGTTCCCTGGTAACTTGTTGTCGATCGAGATGAACATCAATATTTATTCATGACCAATTTAGTATATCCTTATTGTCTAGTTGTTCGATTAATCAAAATAGCATTCACAGAAATGTTCTAACATAGAGTAGCAACGAACATTGAAGAGATAGTATTATAGATTCATTAATTTTGCCTTGGTTTCAAGTTTGAGGGTTCCATACGCAATATATTTTTTTTTTTTGGTGGTCGAAACACACTTTCATTAAGCGAAAGGGAAAGGAAGGAGACAGCCCAACAAGCTGCAACACAACCAAACAGGCAGGAGCTAGACTAAACGTCTGTAAACAACCCCGGGCAACGCTACAAAAAGGCCAAACAGACCAATCACACCAAACATTAGAGCATCTCCACCCACAAGGGCTAAGTCTAAGGCAAGGGCAAGCAAGGGCTGTCACTATTTACGTGAATAGTGTCAGCATTTGCATTTGTGATTCCACCCACAAGGGCAAAGTCTAGGGCAAGTCTAAGGCAATTACTATTCATTGTACTTTATTTTCTATTTTTTAATAGTTGAAACCATTAATTTTTTTAATCTTTTGTAATTAAATTTTTGGATAAGATTTTCACCCTCTAAAATTGTGCCACGTCTGATATAGAACAAATGACAGATTTTATCGCGGTTGAGCTAGAAAAAGGACGTAGTGGGAATTTGTAGATTTGTTGTCCGAGCTTCGATTAGGACGCAAAATACCATTTCGGAAAGGGAACGACGCCACGAGTCAAACTCACAGCTTTGCTGTGATATATGATGGATTTTGGCATTTTGAGGTCGTTTGGCCTTCCAAAACGGCATTTAAAGTTTCGTAGTTAATTTTCAGTATTTTAGATTTTAATAAAAATTATTCCAAAAAAATTCCTTTTAAAATTGTGCCACGTGTCAAATGTCAGATAACATTTTCAGATATTTTTAAAAAAATTTAATCTCAGATTTCAGATAAGATTTTCACCCTCTACAATTGTGCCACGTGTCAAATGTCAGATAACATTTTCAGATATTTT